GGCGGGGGGGTCCCGTCGGGGCGGGCGCTGCAGGCGAGGAGGAGCCCGCCGGCGGCGAGGAAGGCTCCGGCGAACCAGCCCAGGAAGGTAGCCTCCCCGAACTCCCAGCGGGGCACGATGTCGGGGACGCTGTCGTCCCAGAAGTCGAGGACGGTGTTGTAGGCCACCCAGGAGACGGGCGCCAGGGTGGCCACCGCCGCCGCCCCCAGGGCCGCCCCCCCGGCCAGCAGCAGCCGGCGCTTGGCAGCGGGGGGGTGGCTGCAGGGGGTCCATGCCGGCAGCCCCGGGGCAGCCAGCAGGCAGCCCAGCAGCCCCAGGGCGTTGGAGAGGCACATCAGCAGGCGGGAGACGCGCAGGTCGGGGGGCAGCGCCAGGAAGGAGCCGTGAGGGCGGCACTCCAGCACCCCCTCCTCCTGCCCCACGCAGACCTGCCACAGCCCCATGCTCCACACCTCCAGCTCGTTCAGCTCCAGGTTCAGGCTCTTCCAGAGGGGCACCACGGTGGTGACGCAGGAGCAGACCCAGCCCAGCAGGGCCAGCAGCATCCCCCCGGCCTGCGCCGCCGCCCGCCAGCCCCCGGCCATCTTAGGGTCGCCCCCTGGGCCCTGCTGGGCCCCCCGCGCTCATGGACGTGGCGTCCACCCTCCGCCGGCCACGTCTGCGCCCGGGGCCACGGATCCGAGCCTCTTCCTCCCGCGCCGGGGTGTGGCCACCGCCCGCCCCAGCCCGTGTTGGTTTTTCCACCCGAAAAGCCGGGCAGGAGCAGCCGGGGGCGTCCCCCCCACCGCGGCCGGGCTCAGCCCAGGCATTTCAATCCTCCCGGCGCCGCCGGAGCCTTGGCAGGGCCGGAGCCAGTGCTGGCACGGAGGGGACCCCGGGTGGGATGCAGAGAGACGGCACCGGGCTCTTCTTGGCAGGGCCTGAGCCTTAATGACCCCTTTGGGTCATTACATCAAGGGGTGAGGGGACCTTGGGGATGGGGACGGGGAAAGGGGGTGTCCCTTGGGTCCTTGGGGCACCCACCGCCCCGATCCCACCGGCGTCTCGCCGGGGACACCGCTCTTGGTGCTGGACATGGGAAAGCTCTTCCCCGGGAGCAGCCGTTCTCCTCCTCCTGGAGAAGATGGAGACGGGGAGGAAGGATGAGCCCCACGGCGGGAACATCCCAACTTTGTCCCCACGCCTGTCCCCGAGTCCCCTCCATGGGGTCCCCTCCTCAGCATCTCCTCCGTGGGGTCCACCTTCCCAGTGTCCCCTCCCCGGCGTCCCCTCCGCAGGGTCCAGCTTGAGATTCATCTTCCCGGGGGGATTAGCCACTAATCTCTCCTTCATCTGCCGCCCTCCTCATCGACGGGGGGACCCGGGGAATCACTGACCCCTCCTGGCACCGGGGGTCCGGCCCTGCTCTGTGCCAGGGGGACCTGGGCGGGGGG